TCTGCCCCAGGGCAGCTGTGGCTACAACTGTAGCTGCCTCCACCAGTGTGTGAATGGGTGGATGACTGGGTGTGTAAAGCGCTTTGGGGTCCCTAGGCGGGACTAGTAAAAGCGCTATACAAATACAGGCCATTTACCATTTACATAAGGGGTGACTCAAGACTTTTGCAACTACACACGACCAAGTTTAAATGTCTATATCTGATTTAAGAAGCTGTGGTAAAATGCAGCACACACAGTATTAACACGCTTTACTTTTTCTTTACAGCTGCATTTATTCAAAACATTTTAAATAACCAATTAAACAATTCTTAATAAGTCATTAATCCTGACACACATGTGCTCACAGCCCACACTAACAAGCAAAGGAGGTCTGTGCTAAAGCCCATTCATCATCACCTACTCCCACCCACACACACATGTAGAGAAGCAGGTAAAATCACAGACCGACTCAGGAAACAGCCACACAGCCACTGAAACAAACACACGATGGCACAGTGAGTCTAACCAGATAGCCAGGACAGATGGTCAGGTGTGATGAAGCCCTTCAGAGAAGAAAGGGGGACGGTAGATTAGGAAAAAGGAAAGATAGAAAAGAAGCTGTATATCCTGCGCTCAGCGTCCGGTTCTTGGCTTCTCCCCAGTTTGGGCTCAAACTGTTTTTGTCTATGTTCAATCATAACGTTCCACAACAGAGCAGTGATTGCATGTACGGGACTGAGGGGGAGAGAAACATAGAGAGTGAGGGAGAGATAAAAATAGACCCAAAGGAATGAGTCAGATTGAGGGTACCATAGAAGAGACGAGAGAAAGAGTGGGGGAGGTCAGGAGAGGATGTGAGAGGAGGAAAGACTGAGAGAGAAAGGGCTGAGGCCTCAGGGATGGAGGGAGAAGACCTCTCAGTGGAAATCATGTTGATTATGTAAACAGTGGATCCTTTGGAGAGGAAGAAAGTGAGAGTATGGATTAGAGGAATGAAAGAGAAAGGGAAAGGAGGAAGCGCAAGGGTCGGGATGGATGAAGGGATTGAGATGAGAGGAGGAGCGATGGAGGTAAAAAGGAGGTCTATGCAAGGTCTCAGTGGACAGACATAAAAGACGAAACACACACACACATGCATGCATGCAGACACCTTGCAAATTATAGTCAGTGCATCACGACTGATGAACTACACACCTGGAGAAAAAAACTCAGGGATGAAAGACTAGGAACGAGGATACTGACATTGGGAAGGTGAGCTGAGCTTTGCTGTAGTGATCTAAAAGAGAACAAACCTGACAACAACCACTTCGTAAAGAAAGCAACTGACTGGAAGCCATTTTTCAATTTCAATAACTAATTAAGCTCAACCCATTTGCTGCTTTTGTCTTTTATTAAACTGAACATGAAACAAAATGATTGTTGATCAATAAGGTTGGACAAACACGGGCAAAATACAAACTGAAGGCTAATAGTCAAACTGGGTTGTGTGACTCATAATTACTTATTAGCAATAAAACTTAAGCCTCTTTTTTCTTCCAGCTATGCCTCCCATTTCTACGAAACAACATTTATTATGTATTTATTGGTTTATTTTTCTAATTCTTAAGAGCAGGAAGGCAAGTATTCTAAAGAGAAGTGCTTCTTTACAGACATTATATAGACATACAGTATTATCATTGATTACTGCTATTTAAAGATGCATCAGCATATTGCAACTGCCATATTTTCACTGGGTCTTCTAATGTGTGTAACTCTATGCACTTGCCAGTTAAATATAGTCATAACTCAGTGAAGTTTGCACAGATATTCTGTGGATTTTTTGGCTTGTTACTTATGCTACGACTGCATTTATTCTTGTTTAAGTTTAAAAATGCATATTTTCATACCAAAACACTTATCTTGTGTTGACTGTAATCACAACAGTCCAGTAATATTATGTAGAAA